TGGGACAGGCATAGGATAGACATTCCCATTCCAAAAGAGAGAAATAGTCAAGAAGAAAGTGGTAGCAAGTCCCAAGTAAGTCCAAAACTCAATAGGACAAACACAATAAAATCTTAAGGATTGAGAATAATCTTTTTGACTCCATTTCCTGCCTTGTGGATACACTGGTGTCGGGGGTTGGGCCTCCAAGGACTTGGGAAGTCCCGTCTCTCTGACTTTGCTGGGTGCAGTCCATGTTTCAGCTCTCACACACTGAAGGTGCATTCCTACAGCTTCCCAGGCTGATGCTGTACACTGGTGACTCTACAGTGCTGGAGGCCTGAGAGTGACCCAGTCCCCACAGCTGCACTAGACATTGCCTAGTGGGGGCTCTCTAGAGTGGCCTCATAACCATTGCTCCATTAGACACTGCCCTAGCAGAGACCCTCTGCAGTGGCCCTAACTCTGTGTCTCTGCTAGGCATTGCCCTAGTGGGGATTTTATTCAGCACCCCTGGCTCTGTGACAGTTCTCTGCCTGGGCCCCAAGGATCTCTGAGGCATCCTTTGAAATACAGGTGCTCCCACAGCTCACACACGCTGTGCACCTACAGAATTAGCACCATGTGGAGGCTGTCAGATTTTACTATGTGCATCCTCCAGACAAGTGGTTCAAGCTCCACCTGGGCCCATTTGTGCCATAGCTGAAGTGGCCATGGAGCCCTGCACCAGAATGCAGGGGGTGGAGATTTGAGGTGGCCCTGGGTATCCAGTCTTGAGGTCCCATGGGTGTCCTAGGCTTCTCCCTTAAAACTATTCTGCCTTCAAAACCCTGGCACTCTGGGCCTGTGATGAGAAAAGCAGCATCAAAGATCTCCAAAATGCTTTTAGAGTCATTTATGAATTTGTACAGGAATTTTCCACTGTCTCAATGGATAACATCTTATTTCCTTCTATCCTTGCTAATCTCCTTATCAAGCATTTCATTTGGCCATACCCTTGGTATTTTCTCCCAAATAAGCCTTTTCATTCTTTATATGACCAGGCTGAGAATTTTCTTTTCCAAGTCTTTATGTCCTGCTTCCCTATTGGTTATATATTTCACCTTTAACTCATTTTTCTCCTCTGGCATTTCACTACAACCAACCAGAAGACGACACAGAGCACCTTCAATACTTTGCTGCTTTGTGATTTCTTCCAGCACAAATCCTAGTTTATTATTCTCCATTTCTGCCTTCCACAAAGTCCTAGGTTACAGACACAATTCAACCAAATTCTTTGCCACTTTAGAGCAAGGACGGCCTTTCCTCTAGTTTCTAATACCTTGTTTCTCATTTCCATCTGAGACTTCATCAGAATAGTCTTTACTGTCCTTATTTCTACCAGCAATTTGTTCATGACAATTTAAGTACTATCTATGAAGAACAAGATTTTTCCTACCTCTCTTCTCTTTTGAACTCTCACCAGAATGTTTTTAATGCTCCATTTACAATAATATAGGCTATATTTTTTAGCTTAGATATTTTTCACTTCAAAACTGTTCTAACCTCTACCCGTTACCCGGTTTCAAAACTGCTCCCACAGTTTTAGGCACTTGTTATACAACGCCCCACTTATCTGGTACCAATTTCTGTCTTAGTCCCTTAGTACTTCTATAACAAAATACCAGATACTGGGTAATTTATAAAGAACAGAAATTTATTTTTTTCCACAGTTCTCAAGGCTGGGAAGTGCAATATCCAGACTGGAAGATTTGGGTGTCTGGCGAGGGCTGTTCTCTGCTTCCAAGATGATGCCTTGTTGCTGCGCTTCTGAGTGGGAGAAATGCTGTGTCCGCATTTAGCAGAAGGGATGAAAGGAGTGATAAAAAGAGCAAACTGTCTTTATTACAAGCCCTTTTATAATGGCATCAACCCATTCTCGAGGGCTGTTCTCACGACCTAAACAACTCCAAAAGGTCTCCCCCTCTCCAAGACTATTGCATTGGAAATTGAGTCTCCAACATGTGAATTTGGGGAGGACACATTCAGGTCATAGTGATATAGGAGTTAAGAAGAAATTATTAGGCGGGCGGATCACGAGTTCAGGAGATCGAGACCATCCTGGCTAACATGGTGAAACCCCATCTCTAGTAAAAAATACAAAAAATTAGCTGGGCATGGTGGCGGGTGCCTATAGTCCCAGCTACTTGTGTGGCTGAGGCAGGAGAATGGGGTGAACACCGGAGGCGGAGCTTGCAGTGAGCCGAGTTGGCGCCACTCCAGCCTGGGAAACAGAGTGAAACTCTGTCTCAAAAAAAAAAAAAAAAAAAAAAAAAATAATCAATAAAAAAGAAAAAAAAAGAAGAAAAAGGAGAAGGAGAAGAGGAAGAGGGGTAAGGAAGTCCTCAGTAAGATTTTCCTTTTAACAAAAAGCAGCCCCCAGATCATTTCCTTTTCTAACAAAGAGCAGCCTGTAAAATCGAGCTGCAGACATAAAAAGGCAAGCCAGAAGCTTGCACAGGTGAATGCTGTCAGATGTGCCAATAGGAAAGGGCCTACCTGTGGACTAGGCATGTTCAAAATGGTGGCTCCATCTTCCCCTTTCCTTGGCAGCCACGTGCACAGTAAGGAGCAGGCAACATAGCATTGGCCAAGTAGAGACTCCATTTGCATAATAAAAGATTAGGGTGGGGTGGCTAGCTTCCCAGTGCATTATGTAAACATCACACCTGGTCCAACCAATCTTTGGGCCCTATGTAAATCAGACACACCACCTCAAACCTGTTTATAAAACCCTGTGCACTCCTAAGCGGGTAGGAAGTCCCATTCCGGTTTCCCCCCTCTCTCTATAAGAGAGAGAGCTGTTCTCCTTTCTCTCTCTTTTGCCTATTAAACCTCCGCTCCTAAATCTGCTTCTGTGTCTGCATACTGCATTTCCTTGGTGCAAGACGATGAATCTCGGGTATTTACCCCAATGATGCCACTTCAAAGAATTAAAAATTAAACAACAACAACAACAACAACTTCAAAGAATAAAAAGCAGATCTGAAGTGATACATCTTTAGAAACCATTTCCAACACACTTAATAGAAGTCATGTTGTCGTTCTTCATTGAGAATTTAGAGGCCGTTAAGATGTTTCTTACGTTTAAGAATGTCAAAACAGTTCCTTATTTATTGGAAAAATAAGAACTCACCTATAGATAATTACATCTTTCTATTAAAGCATGTGATTATATTTCAGACTCAGATTTACAGCCGTATGAACTTGGAAGTCAATTTTTGAAATCATATCTTGCAGAAACAAAATCAAATATATTACATATTTATCTAGAGAAAAACCTGTGTTAACATAATAGTTATACATCTACAAATTGATGTTATATAACGTTGTAAAAAATGGATATTTATGTGTCCATCAATGATAGACTAGATTAAGAAACTGTGGCACAGATACACCATGGAATACTATGCAGCCATAAAAAAGGAGGAGTTCATGTCCTTTGCAGGGACATGGATGAAGCTGGAAACCATAATTCTCAGCAAACTGTCACGAGGACAGAAAAACCAAACACCACATGTTCTCACTCATAGGTGGGAATTGAACAATGAGAACACTTGGACACAGGGCGGGGAACACCACATACAGGGGCCTCTTGTGGGGTGGGAGGCTGGGGGAGGAATAGCATTAGGAGAAATACCAAATGTAAATGACGAGTTGATGGGTGCAGCACACAAACATGGTACATGTATACCTATGTTTAAAACCTGCTCGTTATACACATGTACCCTAGAACTTAAAGTATAATAATAATAAAAAAATTTTAAAAACCCCAGTATATTTATGAAATTCTGCATTTTTTCAGATGTTTTAGTAACCAAAGCAGTTGACTTCTGGGAATTGAATAATGGAGAATTCTTCAAAGGACCTCAACTATACAAGTATTTATAAAATATGTACAATAATACTTCAAATGTACCTATTTCATGTTTTTGAGGACTTTTAATTTGTTTTTTTACCTGAATTCTTACAGAATAGAATAGAAATAAACCTTCACACTCCATTAGAAAATATTCCTGGTATGGTAATTATGCCTCAGTCTCTCAGATTGTGGTTTTATAATCTATTATTCAATGATCATTTTTTACTATTCAGCTAATGGATATGCCACAGAAGATTTATAGTAATAGTAAGTGTATTTTAATCTACTTAATAAAAATATTCTATGGCTTTAATTTAAATGTATATCTGAAAATCTAGAATACATTTCTTTTTTAAAGTGATAACTGTAACAGCATGCAATGATCTTCCTTATATGTATCCAATTTTGTTTTAAAATGAAACCGCCATACAGTAAGTACACTAGTTTTTAAGAAAGATAAGAAAATAATGAATTGTCAATCTACCTTAATTTCAGTGAAGCAGTTATCATTTCTAGGATTCATTCTCAGGAGGACTGTATTCTTTGCAATTGGTAAAGACTGCCACAAATAACTTCTTAGACACATATCATGAAGGTATTTGCTTATGGTTTCCGGAAATCTGGATATTTGGTGAGCCTGATAATTTCATAATATCCAAGAACTTTTCTTTTTTTTCAGAAGTTCAAGAAAGGGCCAAGAGTCTCATGGGCTTCTTACGTGTTTCTGGATGCTCAGGAGGAGGCTGTGAAGCCGAAGGCATCCTTTCCATTCCGTTTCCTGCTGGTGTCTCTCATTTCAGAAATGTGTAAGAATGTGTTCAATCCTATGTTTAAGTGATGAAAATCTAAGATAAGCTTCTCAGGTCTCAGTCTTTTATGTTTCTATCTAATTATTTCTCTCCGTAATTTAATGGCGATAGAAGAATCTGTTTATAGGAGCTGAATATTTAATGTATTATAGAAGTAGCTTCTTCACAACATTTAATGGAGTCAAACATATTTGATATAAATTTTAACTTATTTGAAAAAATCTTGAAATATCCAATTGGATTTTGGGATGGATTTTCCTATTTTTGCAAAAAACAAAAATAATAAAAAACAAAACCCCCCAAAAAGACAACAAAACCACTTTGGGATTTGGATAGGGACTGTATTGAACCTGTAGATAGATTTCGGTAGTACTGTCTCCTTAACAATATTAAATCTTCCAATCTGTGAACATTAGATGTTTCCATGTATTTATGTTTTCTTTATTTGCTGGCATGTTGTTCTCTGTGGACACAGATGAAGAAAGATTTCACACCCAACATTATAACCAGCTAGTGCTGGTCTACAGTACATTTCAGCTAGAATGACAGCTATTTGCATGCAGTAGGTTAACTCCAGGAGGAATTAAAGAGAGGAACTGTGGTTTCTCCAGCCACTACATTTGCAAGTCTCTCTCTCCAATTTATTGGCCTATGCCTGCGGGTTCACTTTCCTGAATTCAGCTGAACTGCCTAGACACTTTGTCTAGCCCTGCCAACCTTGGGCATACATATGCCTTCTCCAAAGACAGATAACAGGTGCAAAAATGTGTTTTCTGAACAGCTATTGTGGAATCATGGATAATTAGCTGCTGAAGAATTTGCTTTCTGCATAAACCAAATTAGAATTAGCTGAAGTGATAACATACTTTCTGCTTTATGGATATAACATAAAGAGTGACCCACTGCAATCTATCTGTCAGTGATAGTATGGGTCAATAATTTTAGGAAACAGAGGATGCCTGGAGCAAGAGCTAATTTGTAGCTAACTTCTCACTCATGAGCTACTTGAAGGTGTTCTCAAGCTGCCATAGGAATCATCTTGGCTGGACCCCACAAAAGGCAATATTCTTTTCTTCATGTCCATTTTATTCACTCCTTTGCTTCATTGTTTTCAGTGTGTTTGTCATGTCAGAGAGTCTATAGGTTTTGTTTGCAGATCAACAGTATTGTTCAAGGTCAATATATTCTAGAAATGTGGTGGGCATCCATATAGGAAATTAGTTTTTCAATTCTATTAGAAATGTCAGAAACTTGAATGTATAGGAATTAGACTAGTTCAATGCTGATTAAATTTCTCCAGTCATTAGAATACCAGACAGGTTAGCTAAACTATTAGGCACAGACAAGTAACAGAAATTATAAGGAGCAGCCTGATGGAACATTAGCATCCAGGTACATTTCATGAGTACTATCTTCAGTTTTGCCTACTTGACTAGGCTCCTTCACCTTTCTCTTTAAATCTATACCAACAGACTGTATTCTATGTGCTTGCCATCCTTACACTTTTGGATGTGAGGGTGATGGAGCCAGCCATAAATCTTATAGCAGATTTAAGGTCCAAGAAAAGCATTTCATAAGAGGTGAGTTTCCAGGATACCAGCAATTTCTTGTACGGAGAGATAAACCTCATGCATCATTTCAAGGTCACTCTCATTTCCCCGTATAACTTTGGGAGTTTTCAGGTTGCACGTGACCTAATTCAGGTGAGGCATCTTTGGTTGTGGAAAGACTCAGTGAAATTTGTTTGCCACTCTAGCAACACCTAGCAACAGAAATTCAAGGTTTGTGTACATAGTGGCAGGTTCAGGGGGACTGTACCTTTTTACCACCTTAAAGACCTGTTGGAACACCATACCACCTCATCCTCAAAGAATGGCGCCTGAAGAATCATATCTAAACCTGGTTAATAAGGACCTGAAGGACTAGAAGACATTATTCCAGGCACAGTTCTAAAGATGTTCCTCCAAAATTCCTGTTTCCTAGTTATTCAATCAAACACAAAACTGGGTATTTCTGTGAGGGAACTTTGTAAATGTAATTAAGGTTGATAATCAGTAGATATTAAGATAGGGAGATGATCTTGAGTAAATGCTATAATTCTAAGGTAACCACTAAAAGAAAAATGTAAAAACTACATAGCTGTCATGTCAATAAAATAGGAAAATAAAATAATAATGATCAATCCAAAAGAAGGCAAGAAAGGAGAGAAAAAAAAGGACAGGGCAAATGGAAAATTAATGGTAATTACGATCCAACTATATCAATAATTCTTTAATATTAAATTGACTAAATGGTTCACTTAATATATAGTGATTATCAGTATAATTGAAAACACATAAACTCAATTACATGCTTATTCTTTAAAATTGGTGAAATATTATAAAACCTAGGTCGTGATCATTTTGTAAATATTCCATGGGTGGTTGGGAAGAATGTGTATTCTCTACAGTTGATCTAGAATTGTACAAATGTTTACTAGATCATACTTATTTGAGTCATCCAATTCTCATATATTTTTGTTAAATTTTGCCTGCTTGATCTATCAATAATTATAAGAGATGTGTTTCAGTCTCCAATCCTGATGATACTTTTGCCAGCTTTCCCCTATATTCCTATCAATTTTTGTTGATATATTTTAAAACTATTTAGTTACATAAATACATGTTAGAATGTTTCAACTTGAGAACATTATCATTTTGATATTTTCCCTCTCCATTCTCCCCATCGCAGTCATATTGTCTAAAAATATGCTTCTAGGTTATTAGATATATATGTTCTCATTATTTGATTTAGTATTTTTCTGTCACATATAAACAAACTCTGGAAAGATATTTGATTGCTGTTACTGTGACATCATTTATCATAATTTTCTATTTTCCTTATCATGTGGTTTGTTCTCTGAAATGCCTTTCTGATATGTATCTTTACGTCAAATTTTATTTGAACTTATATATTGAAGAAAATTTTAAAACTCATGCTCTCACATTTGAATAATATTTCAGATTTCTTTTCAGTTAATACTTTAATAATATTAACCCATTGATTTCATGTATTCAGTATGGCTATGAATGTTGATTTGATTCTTGTTACTTGGTAGGCAACCTGTTCTTTTCCTTTAGAAAATTCTAGAATTTTCTCTTTGGTGTCATTTTAAATTTCAGGGGTGTGTGTGTGTGTGTGTGTGTGTGTGTTTTCCTCTTCGGTGCCCAGTTTGTAATCTCTGGGTTCTTTCAATCTAAGGTCATTCTCTTACTTTTTAAATGTACAGAAACTTTTTCCATTATTTCTTTTAATATTTCCTCCTATTTTGATTTTTCTCTTTTTTTTTGGGAAATACTATTCTCTAGATACAGACAGTTCTATTTCTATTTTCCATGTAACTTAATTTTATTTTTGCATTCCTACTTTTTTTCTTTCCTTGTTCTTTTCTGTCAGAGTTTGCCAATCTGATATTCCAAATTTCTGCTTCATTAAGCAATTGTATCCATTCTACTATGAACTTCATGTCTTGTGACTTTATTTCTTGGTCTCTTGGTTCTTTTTAAAAGATTGTATGTTATTGTTCTTCTGCTGATAACGTCCCTTGGATTTGCATCCAAGTAATTTCAAAACATATTTATAAACATGCTTTCAGTATTTTTACTGAAAATTTACAGTTAATGTGGGGATGTGGCTGTATTTTAGTGTATTTAATATGATGTGTGCTAGGACTTGCAAAGGAAAGAGTGCCTATGGACCCCAATAAACCAAACTGTTTCTGCTTCTACTAAGAGGCAGAATTTTACAAGGTCTGAATAAAGAAATAAAAGCTAGGGATTGCAGGATTATACAGAATGTAGCAGTAATAGTTTGGGACAATAGAGAAGATTTGTTGGAAGTCTGAGCAGGGATTGTACGGGCTGTTCTGCATTCAATAGCTGTCCTATAATGGTGTCTCCAACCCTGGAATGTTACAATCACAGCGTTTGCAACATTTTCTGCAAACATGCATTTTGCCTAGTTCTAGCTAAACTGTTTGCATGGTATATAAATGTAATGGGAAGAAACTTGATTGCTGTCAGTAACCAGAATATTTTTATATTTGTTTCTTTTCTCACTGTAACTGGAAGTTAATTAAAAAAGCGATGGTCTAAGTAAAAGATATAAGCAAAAGCCTCACCAGGCACCACCCTAACCTGAGAATTGACAATTAGGAATCCTTTTTTCTTTAACAATAAACTGACTGGCGTATCAATGCTGAGACACTTCTCTTGAGTGCTCAGTTGCCCGCCAGCAGCGCATTACCTACTTCCAATCACCTCCCGCTTCTTCCATGTGCTTTTCCTCTCCGCAGCCTCCCTGGGCCGCCTCACGCGCGCTCAGCCCTGCGCTAGCTGCGCCTCTCCAGGTCTCAACGTCTCAACTGCTGTTCATCGCCAGGGCTCCAAGACAGCGAGCCATGTTCCTTCTTCTGGTGCTTCTCACCGGACTTGGTGGGATGCATGCAGACCTCAGTAAGTCCAGGAATCCAGGCTTGCGAGGGAGACCTTGTTCACTCTTTCCACCGCCCGGGTCCAGCTCAGACTTTACCCTGGCTCCACGCTCTCCCGCTTTCTCCTGGCCCCTTGCCTCAAGGTCTGTGGCCAAAAAGGCAGAGAGGCAGCTGCCGACAGAAAATCGTTTTATTTCTTTGGGATGGCTTCCTGATCCAGAAAATGAACAAAAACGAAATTTGTGGTTTTTTCCACATACAAAATTCTGCTACTCTATGAAAAATTGCATCACCGTAAAAAAAGCTATTTATCAAGGATTGACTGATTTGGCAACTGTTAGCCTCCACCTGCCCCATTGAAAAGTGCAGATCGTCCTTGTATTCAATATCTATATTCGTCCCTGCAAAATATCTCACTTTCTGGATGCATCTGTGTTTTCTCATTTCCACATCTGTTTACAACACCGAATTTGGTACTTAACGTTTAGTCAAGCTGTGCCAGCGCCAAACTGTGTGTGTGTGTGTGTGTGTGTGTGTGTATCTGTGTAGACAGGGATTTGCAGGGGAGAATGAGAATAAAGATTTGAGATCTTGACAAGGGGTCAGAAATTTGTAGGTAAGAATGACTAGAAAGACCGTGGAAAGGGCGAGATGTGTAGATTATATTAAAAATAGCTGCTAATGTAGAGAAACAAATGCAGAATCAGAGAAGTGAATAACGTAAGATCACGGGTATCAAAATAACATAGTTTATATTTATTTTTAGATCCTCATAAAATCTTCCTGCAGACCACAATTCCAGAGAAGATTTCATCATCGGATGCTAAAACAGATCCAGAACATAATGTAATTTTAATAATATTTTTAATATGAAATGTTGTTAAGTTGTGTTTAATGTCAAGACCAAAGGTGCTGAATGTGGGCAGGATTGTACTTCTTGGAGGCAGAGTTGACAGCTGAGAACAGGTTCACAAGAGGGAGCATTTTGATGTTTACGAATGTGTGAGACTGTGTGTGTGTGTTTCTGTTGATGATGAAGGATTTTAGGGATAAGATCCCTCGGGGTCAAAATGCTAGGTATAGGATCCCCCAAGTTTGAAATTTAAGGAGGTAGCAGAAAACTTGGATCCCCCTAGGACTAGGATTAGGGTGAGGCAAGTGAAATGAGTCATGTAACTACAGGATCAGATCCTGTCTGTCTTGAAAATTTTGATGTTGTTTTCATCATGGTGTTTTTTTGCATTGATTTTTAAAAAGGTTGCATTAAGATATTATTTATCTTGATAACCGAGTTTTCTGGTAGCCTAGTTCTGGCCCTAGTGATCCCCTAGAGATTTGTCTTAGCTTTCACTAAGTCAGTGAGGATCTGAACGGTGATGATCTCTGGGCAGGTTTATCTGTTAATGATCACATCAATTTCACATCCAAGATTGAATGGTAGTGAATGTTCCATCTCTAATAATTTGGCAGGAGAATACTTCTTACATGGTTTCTACCAGTATAAGATAATCTATTGTTGTTAGTAATTTTGGGCCTCCAAATTTATCTTTTTCCGTTTAGCGGTTTCAGAAACCTTTCCTGTCTGTTTCACATAAGGATATACTATTTATATTGTTTCCCCTTCCCTATATATCCTTTCTTTACCTTTTCTTCTTCTAGTAGCTGAGGGTTATTTACCAACATGCTTATCATGCAGCTTTGAACACCCCTCTGCTCTGCCTCCCAAGTGAATTACTAGCTATGCTGTGGTGTATGAGCCCTATGACAGCTTCCCTTTCTGACTGGGAAGAAGAAGTGACATTACATCTTTGTTTAGTTTCCTTTTTCCTGAGATTAATAATACCAACTCTCCCTTTCCATTGTTTATCACTGATAATCTTTGAATTCCTCAGTTGTCTAATTTCTAGAATTTTTATAAAGGCATTTATAATATGGAAATTCAGTGTGTTTCTTTTAACTATAATGATTTAAAAAGGTACATTGTAATATATTTTAGCAACAAAATTATAATTATTGTGGGATGTGATTTTATTATTTTTTATTTATTTATTTATTTTTTTGGGATGTGATTTTATTTGAATATGTTTGGCATCATATGGGGTAGGATCTGCAAAAGTAAAAGTGCCTAAGGGCACACAGTTTTAAGATTTAGTAAATAAAAATATAGAATACCCAGTTAAATGCATGTGCACATAAAGATAAAAGAGAAATATTACATGAGGTTTACTTATACTAAGACTATTTGTTGTTCACCTGATATAAATTATAAGCATCTAAATTACATACCTCCTTAACTTACAGCTTTCTGATGAGTTGACTTCCCCTAACAGTTCCCTGTTGTGTAGAATTTGCTTGTAACACTGCTTCATTTAGATCGTAACATAATTTCTACAGTGGTTACACACAATGTATTTTATTCTTTTTTTTCTAGTGAATATTTCCAGTAGTTTTACAGTTTTCGCATTTTACATTTAGATGTGTGGTCCATTTTGAGTTAATTTTTGTGAGGGATTTAAAGTCTGTGTCTAGATTTTTTTTTTTTTAATGTGGCAATACTATTGTTCTAGTACATATTTTTGAAAAGACTCTCTTTTAAAAATATTGTTTTGCCTCGACTTCTTTGTCAAAGATCCATTGACCATATTTATGTGGATCTATTTCTGGGATCTCTATTTCTTTGAACTATTTGTCTATGATTTTGCAAACACCACCCTGTTTTGAGGGCTGTACATTTATACTAAATCTTCTGTTTTTTTTTTTTGTTTGTTTTCTTTTTTTGAGACAAGGTCTCGTTCTTTTGCCTAGGCTGGAGTGCAGTGGCACAATCTTGATTTACTGTAACCGCTGCTTCCCAGGTTCAAGTGATTCTCTTGGTCTCCTGGCTCAGCTTCCTCAGTAGCTGAGACTACAGGCATCTGCCATCATGCCTAGCTAATTTTTGTGTTTTTAGTAGAGGCAGGGTTTCACCATGCTGGCCTGGCTAGTCTTGAACTCCTGACCTCAGGTGATCCACCTGCCTTGGCCTCCCAAAGTGCTGGGATTATAGGCGTGAGCCACTGTGCCTGGCTTTATAGTAAGTCTTGAAGTTGGTAAGTGTCAATTCTCCAACTTTGTTCTTCACCTTCAATATTATATTGGCTATTTTGGGTCTTCTGGCTCTACATATAAAGTTGAAAATCAGTTTGTTGGTATCTATAAAATAGCTTGCTGATAATTTCATTGGGTTTACATTGATCTGTGGGTGACATTGGAAAGAACTGATATCTTGACAATATTGAGTCTTTTTATCTATAAACATGGAATATCCCTCCATTTAGTTAGTTCTTTTTGAGTTTTTGCATTAGTTTTGTAGTTTTTCTCATAAATACATATTTTGCTATATTTATACCTAAGCATTTCATTTTTCAGGGTGAAATGTAAATGACATTGTGTGTTTCACTTAATTTATTACCTGTTCATTGTTGGTATAAAGGAAAGAAAATGAGTTTTTAATATTAACTTTGCATGCTGCAACCTTGCCACAATTGTTTATTTGTTTGGGGTTTCTTTTTGGTGATTTTTTCAGATTTTCTCCATAGACAATCATGTAACCTGTGAACAAGGACACACATTTATTTCTAGCCAATCTGAATCCATTTTATTTACTTTTCTTTTTTTCTTTTGCTTTATTGCATTCGCTAGGACTTTCAGTATGATATTAAAAAGTACTGGAGAGAGGGGAAGTCCTTTGCCTTCTTTCTGATTTAATAGGAAAACTTCAGGGTTCTCACAGTTAAGAATGACATCAGCCATTTAGACCCTATCTCCAAATATGGTCACATTTTGAGGTGCTGGGAATTAGTACTTCATCTAATGAATTTTTTGGGGGGTTACAGTTCGGCTTATATCAGTTGGACATTGTATATGAAAAGATGTGGAGGCTCTAGATAATGTATCTTTTGAGAGTTTTTTCCTCCTATTGGTTGGTTTTGTACATTTTTGGTTTATTTTAGTTTTTTTGTTTTATCTTTGTAAGATATGTGGATTTTAAATGTTATTGGTGCTTTCATATTCTCCTTTAATTTTCATCTTATTTGTTTAATATCAAAGGATTTTAGAGGGCACAATTTTAAAGGGCCCCTCCAAATTCCACTTATACTTCTTTTCACAATGCCATTCAACTAATTCTTCACAGAACATTTACCTGATACAAAGTACCTTGTTATGCTTCAGTATAAAGTTGAGGAATTGAAAACTGTTAAATGCTATTTCTCTTGCTAAAATAAATGTCTAAAATTAACCAAATACATAATTTAATGACTGTTGCATTTTCTATCGTCTTCTATGTTGTTCTCTAGACATGTCTTTAGTCTCCCTGTATTCTCTCCTACATTCTATTCCAGAGGAGTTTGATTGCTCACACAGATAAGTAAAATGCAATGGCTTTTGATGTTATATTGCTGGAAGTATATTACATTTCTTGTACTTCTATCTTTTGGGAGGGTCTCTTTCAATGAGCAGGACAATTTACCTTCCAGGAGAGCTCTAGGTAAACAACCAATGGGTCCTCACAATTGAGGTGGACATCCTTGATGGTGGGGTCTGTCTGAACTGAAAGATAATAATCATCAGGTAAGCTTCTCCCTCAGAGGTGTGAGTAATAGTGAATAGCAGGCAAGTGAGTGCTTTACTACCTAGTTCTCAATGCAGAATTCTCAAGCTCCAAGTATCTGTGTGGGAAGGAAAGCCAATATAATGGTTACAGGTTGTTATTAATTTTGTCAATATTTTAAACCCTAATTTGGAGAAGATACACTATTTGGCGTGTGTTATTATTGAATCTTTCTAATAATTTTGTTATAGGTTGTTTACATGATTACAATAGAAGGAAAGCCATATTTTGTCCATCTCAAAAAGCAGTGAGTAATTATTTTGTCCTTTCAAAATTTAATACTTTGGCTTCTTAATTTCTAAAAGTATGTGTAAGTAGAGTGAATCATTTTGATTCAAATATATTGATACCTACTCTATACTGGGTATTGAGTAAAAACCTAGGCATGCAAAAGAGAATAAAACATATTACATTGTTAAAGAATTATAATACAGAATGATAGATTCAGACACATTAATAGAAAGCAAATAATTTTATTATAATATGGTAATATGATAAATGTATAAACAGTATTCCTTGGAAGTCAGGGGAGGCTTTTAGGGAAGAGGAAAGAGATTACTTGTATCTTAAGGGAAGAGACAGAGCTATGTAAAGAAGAGGGGCAAGACAGGGGAACACTTTTTTTTTTTTTCTGAGACAGAGTCTTGCTCTGTTGCCCAGGCTAGAGTGCAGTGGAGTGATCTCGGCTCACTGCAACCTCTACCTCCTGGGTTCCAGTGATTCTCGTGCCTCAGTCTCCCAAATAGCTGGGACTACAGGTGTGCACCACCATGCCTGGCTAATTTTTTGTATTTTTAGTAGAGATGGGGTTTCACCACGTTGCCCAGGATGGCCTTGAACTCCTGACCTCAAGCACTCCTCCCTCCTTGGCCTCTTAAAGTGCTGGGATTACAGGCATGAACCACCACACTCAGCCAACGTTCTATTTAGAGAAGAAATTATGTGTAAAGCATAGAGGTGTGAGACACAGTGGCTTTTCTGATATGCACAAAGCCAGTGTGAATTACTAAAGCAAACATTTTCTGAAAAATAGAGGTAAAAGATTCTGGAAAGGTAGGTAGGGGCCAGGTTGTAGAAGATTCAGAATGCATGGTCAGATATTGGGAGCCAAAAATGGTTTTAAGTATGTACTTATGTAGCCACATTGAGTCTCATAGGCTTTTTTTGAGGGGACAAAGTTAGAGTTAAGGTGACTAATTACATGACTATACAGTTTAGGTGAGTAATGGTGGTGGTTTGAACGATGGCACCAGTGATAGCACTTGAAAGAAAAATTCGGTGGACCTCAATACAGAGTTGGTGGAATGATTGGTAAACAGTGAGGAATTTCAGGTAATTTAGTTGTCGCTCAAGAAAATGAATAGGCTGTAGTATAATTAACTGAGGAACATGAACAAGGGATATATTTGTGTGAGGAAGTGGTGATTTCGGATTTTTAGCACATGTGAGATACCCAAGTGTGTTTTTTCCTGTAGATCAGGGGTGTCCAGTCTTTTTGGCTCCCATGAGCCACACAGGAAAACTTGTCTTGGGCCACATGTAAAATACACTTATGATAGCTGATGAGCTAAAAAAAATTTTTTTTAAATCTCATAATGTTTTAAGAAAGTTTACAAATTTGCTTTGGGCCACAAAGCCATTCTTGGCCATATGTGGCTAGCAATTTGAATCTCTGAAAATATTCAATAAGAATATTGGAAAATAGATTTAGCTATAGGTATATATATTGAGCAGAAAGTAGTAGCTTGTGCTCTACTTTCTTGTGTTTTTTTTAATGAGTGCTGTTACGTAGAGTGCTTATAAATAGATCGTGGTTGAAGAGTGAACCCTGGGAAACAGCGATGTTTCCTGAGATAGGTTGAACAAAAACAGCAGCCAACATGGAAGATAAAGCTGGAGGGACCAGGGAGGTAGGAAGAATAGCAGAAGAATGAAGTGTTATGTAAATTGAGTGGACTGAGTGGCCACAGTTTTCAAAAAGAAGCTAGAAGTCCAATGTAAAATGATTTTTTAAAATGCCTTTTGGATTTGACATTCTAATATTTGTGGATCTTTTCCAGGGATGTTTCAGGGATAATAAGAATTGAGAAACTGAAGGAATTGTGTGTAGACAATTCTTCTGATGAAATGTATTAAGAATTGAAAAAAATGTACATAAGGAATAGCCATAGTAGAACATGGGGTCAAGAAAGGATTCTTTAGGATGATAATGACTTATTAGTATCATTTTAAATAGCATTATGATAAAAATCAGTAGACTACAAGAGTTCAAAATTATAGGAGAGAAAAAGTAGTGTCCTCTGTATATGGCACAGGATGGTATCTACAGCACCAGTGTAAGGGCTTGTTCTCAATGAAAGAAGTAACCTTCTGGCAATAAAGGTAAGGAGTGCAGATGGGAACAGGTGATCTGAGAGGGAGGGAACATGGGGGTTTTGTGGGATGATTGACAGGAGTAGTGTCAAGTTTTTGAATAGTTTCTGAGGGAAATAAAATTCTGACCAGAGTTATTGAGAAGAACGTGGCACTTAGCAAAGTTTAGCAAATATGAATTTGTAGTGAGACCAAGTAACTCTTTCTAAGTTTTCTGTTTATGTTAGTCCGTTTTCACACTGCTGATACAGACATACCCAAGACTGGGCAATTTACAAAAAAAAGAGGTTTATTGGACTTACAGTTCTACCTGGCTGGGGAGGACTCACAATCATGGTGGAAGGCAAGGAGGAGCAAGTCACATCTTACATGGGTGGCAGCAGGCAAAGAGAGAGCTTTTGCAGAGAAACTCCCGTTTTAAAAACCATCAGATCTCATGAGACCCATTCACTATCACGAGAACAGCATGGGAAAGACTTGCTCCCATGATTGAATTATCTCCTACTGGGTCCCTCCCACAAATGTAGGAATTATGGGAGCTACAAGATGAGATTTGGGTGGGGACACAGAGCCAAACTGTATCACTGTCCTAACTTTACACTTTAATTTTGAAACTTGAGTATAAAATCTAAAATCAATGAGTGAAATAGACAAAGATTAGAAAGTTTTATGCTGGAAATTGGGACCTATACTATTTCCTCTTCATATCTCTAGCAATTTGAGTTGCTCATTTATCTGCATTTTTGTATGGTATGTCATTCTAGTTAAAATGTCTCACCAAGCACCTAATTCAGTTTAAGTGCTAGAAATACATGGACAATAGGATAAAACAAGTCAATTAACACTACTTTAAATTTTTCAGTAAAAAGAAAATTTGTATGAATATTTTTTCTACTTTTTCTGTTTCACAACTTGAGCATGTTTTTATTATTTTTGCCTAGATCAATTTTATCTTCAGCTTCTTTTATTCATTCTTATGACAAAAATGACATCCGTCATTCCAAACCTCTGCCAGTTCAGGTAAGAATTAGGTTATTTTTTTGTTACATATTTGTAATTCTAGATTTCTTTAAAAAGACAAATATTCTATAATAACTAGAATGTTATTTTACATATTTGCTGAAATTGAGTAACTTAGGCTGGTGCTTATTTCTACCTGGCACAAATTTATTAGGTAATTGCCAATCATATTAAAGTAGAAATGTAGCTAAAGTCATAAATAGTAAATGTAGCTAAAGTAAAAAATAAAAAAATATAAAGTAATAAATATAAATAAATATAAATAATATATTTGGGGTATATATTTTAAAAATAAGTTATCCATTAACTTTTCTTTTTTTTTCTTAGATGGATTGCAATTATAATGGATATGTTGCGGGTATTCCAAATTCTCTTGTGACCCTCAGCGTGTGTTCAGGACTCAGGTTGTAGACTACTTAAAGATACTCAATTTGCCAATATTATATCCTGGTAGCCTATGAATTAATTCTCCATGTATTGTTCTAATTCTATAACCACCTTTGTCATTTCAATTCCTTAAGGACTGAACCTAAATTACTAATAAAATAGGATTGATATTCCAGCAATATCTGTTCCTGATGAGAGGCTACTTGTTGATACTGACAGGATCTGCTGCTTTAGGCTTTAAGAAAGCTTGAGTGTAGGGAGATTGATTGGCCTCCTCATACTTTTTTAGTTTTCTCAAATTCTGTTCTTGTCCAATTTCTTAATGTCCTAGAATAATTGACAATTGTGGAATGCATGGGACTAATGGACACTGGCTCTGCAGTCAGTCATTATTAGGCCTATTGTGCCTTCAATTCAGCCCACACAAACAAATGATTTAGGGTATCAAGTGTCAGAGGAGAGTTAAGTGTATCAAAGAGAAGGAATCAAAGCCTAAGAAGAGACTGCCTAGAGATTCTACAGGCTGGTTAGAAAATCTACACAACAGAAAGGGGTTTCAACCTGTTTAAGTGCACAGATCCATGCCACTACCATGCTTTCTTGAAGATAATCACAGATTTGTAATGTAAGGTAACATGTATCCTGTGATAGAGTGGTCCAGTTCTGGTGTAAGAAAGACCCCAAAAGATAAAGAGATAAAAGTAAAAAAACCTAAGGTCTTAAAACTTAAAAACTTTAAATCTTAAAAACTGTGGCCCAAATTTCTCACTATAATATTATGGTTTTGGTAGAATCATTTCAGACTTGTTTCGATTGTCTTAACACTCAGGGGAACGATGCAGCTGAAAAACATCTCATATGGAATTGAACCGATGGAGGCTGTATCAGGATTTATACACAAGATTTATGAAGAAAAATTTGCTGACACTAATATTCTCTTAGAAGAAAATGACACTTATTCTTGGTTTAATTCAGAGTATCAAGTCAGAAAAAGTTCAGAAGTAAGTATTGGCTCTTTTATTTTAATTTAGTATAATTTTGTGTAATAAAAAATACTTTCAGAGCCAAGATTTGGTGACTTATAAATCTTAAAACTATTTTACTTTTTCATGAGGGCTCTACGTGACTTTTACAATGGCGAGAGAATAAACTTATGTTTGTCATTATGCTTGCCATTAGATGAAAGCTTAGCAAAAACTTAATCTTAGAAATATGAAGATATGAGTATAGTATAAAAGAAAGTGGAACATTAATTTTCATATGTGAGCATTTAGATAATTAATGTAAAATATTCCTTTTCTTTAATTACTCAGATAATTTAGGAGAGAATATTATACAACCTGGATTTCCCAGTTGACAGTTCAAAAATGGATGAGTGACTTACATAAAGTACATGTAAAGCAAAGCGATGAATTTTTTTCTCTACCAAGACCCATAGACTGCCTTAAATAACATGTCTGGCTCTAGCAAATTGCCATTGGTTGTAAATTTTAATATTTTTCTAGACTACATTGTTTGCCAAAAGTAACTTCCTAGTAATTGGTAGCAGAAAATCTGCTTGCATGAAAGATTAGTATGAAAAATTATCAAAAGGCTGAGAAAAACCAAAGCTTTATGTTATAAACTGAAAATTTCAGTTTCAATTATTATAAAAGTCAAAGATACCTGAGTTCTTACGTATCTTGAGAAGTCTAATAGAAAAGTCTTACTACCCAGGGCACTTTGAACTGGAATCTTCTGAATAGTACCTAAATTTTGTACTTGAAAATAGCCTCATTATGTAATCAGGAGCAATATATCTTTCAGTTTATCTCTCAATATAATTTCAGTAGAAGGTAAATTTTTGTAAATTCCTCATGACCCATGTTATGTGTTTTTCAGAAAACTGACTTTATTAAGTTATTCCCTCGATATATTGAAATGCATATTGTTGTGGACAAAAATCTGGTAAGTCTTACTTTATGCATCATTGTTTTAAAACTAATATATCTCTTTAACTTGATTTCAGTGAGGCAATGAAAATTACCAACCATGCTATTTTGCATTTGCAATGAACACATTCTTATAGATTATAAATCAAGTTTTTGTTATTTTGTATATAGCATCTACTCACTTTTGCAAAGTGAAGCATCTTAATTTCTAAAGCTTGTTGACTATTGTTGATTTTTCAAAAAACCTACATCCTCAGTGAAAGGATAGATTGCAACTCCCTTAAGCCCTCAACCTTCATATACAATAATAATATTTAACTCCCTCAGTCTAATTGGAAGCATGGTCTATAAAACAAATATGCCATTTCTTTAAAGCAAAAGGAGAAAACATATTATCACCTGTTTTCTTCTCAGTTCTAGGTAAATGAAACAACGAGAAAAACAAATGAACAAAATACTCATATTGAGAATTCATGGCTATACTTTGGATCTCTTATAGATTTAGGCTCCGAATATTTATTACCTATGTGGTTAGGATTCTAATCCATGAGGCTACATTTGTCGCAGATTGGTAAAAGCCGAGGGTGCATGAGGGAAGCAAATAGTATTTATATCTGGAGGAATGCCACTTCAAGCAGAATACCTCAGGATTCCTACAGATTAATATCAGCCATACATATATGGGCTTACAATCCATAAGGAAATAAAACACCATGAACAATGGTTAGCAAAACAAAAAATACATGTATGGCTAATATTAATTTTTTTAAAATATAGTCTATGATTGGCAGAACAGTAGGGTGACTGTCATTGACAATAACTTATTGTATATTTTATTTTATTTTTTATATATATATTTTTTTATTATTATACTTTGAGTTCTAGGGTACATGTGCATAATGTGCAGGTTTGTTACATATGTATACTTGTGCCATGTTGGTGTGCTGCACCCATCAACTCGTCAGCACCCGTCAACTCGTCATTTACATCAGGTATAACTCCCAGTGCAATCCCTCCCCCCTCCCCCCTCCCCCCTCCCCATGATAGGCCCCGGTGTGTGATGTTCCCCTTCCCGAGTCCAAGTGATCTCATTGTTCAGTTCCCACCTATGAGTGAGAACATGCGGTGTTTGGTTTTCTGTTCTTGTGATAGTTTGCTAAGAATGATGGTTTCCAGCTGCATCCATGTCCCTACAAAGGACACAAACTGTATCCATGTCCCTACAAAGGACAATCAATTTTTTTATGGCTGTAGTAATAGTATTCCATGGTGTATATGTGCCACATTTTCTTAATCTAATCTGTCTGATGATGGTTTAAGTTGATCTTAAGTCTGCTATTGTGAATAGTGCTTAAATAAATATACGGTGTATGTGTCTTTATAGCAGCACGTGATTTCCAGAATTCTTGCATATAATTATAATGGATGGCTGGTCATGGAAGCATCTAGTTCTAGATCCTTGAGGAATCGCCACATCGTTTTCCATAATGGTTGAACTAGTTTACAATCCCACCAACAGTGTAAAAGTGTTCCTATTTCTCCTGACATCCTCTCCAGCACCTGCTGTTTCTGATTTTTACTGATCGCCATTCTAACTGGTGAGATGATCTTATTGTGGTTTGATTTGCATTTGAGTTGATGGCCAGTGATGATGAGTATTTTTTCCATGTGTCTGTTGGCTGTATGAATGTCTTCTTTTGAGAAATGTCTGTTCATATCCTTTGCCCACTTTTGATGGGGTTGTTTGTTTTTTTCTTGTAAATTTGTTTGAGTTCTTTGTAGGTTCTTGAGCATTAGCCCTTTGTCAGATGAGTAGATGGCAAAAATTTTCTCCCAATTTGCAGGTTGCCTTGTCTACCTGATGGTAGTTTCTTTTGATGTGTAGAAGCTCTTTTTAGCTCTTAATGAGATCCTATCATTAATTTTGGCTTTTGCTGCCGTTGCTTTTGGTGTTTTAGACATGGTCTTTGCCCATGCCTCATGTCCTCTGAATGGCATACTTAGGTTTTCAGGATTTTATGGTATTAGGTCTAATATTTAAGTCTCTAATCCATCTTGGAAATTAATTTTCATAAGGAGTAAGGAAAGGATCCAGTTTCAGCTTTCTACTTATGGCTTAAATAATTAGCCAGCACGCATTGTATTAAACAGGGAATCCTCTCCCCATTTCTTGTTCTCTCCCAGGTCTAACAAAGATCAGATGGATGTCACGTGTGGCATTATTTCTGGGGACTTATTCTGTTCCACTGGTCTATATCTCTGCTCAGTACGAGTAGATCATGCTGTTTGCTACTGTAGCTCAGTATAGTCGAAGTCAGGTAGCATGATGCCTCTAGCTTTGTTCTTTGATCAGGATTTCTTTGGAGATGTGGGTCTTTGGTTCCATATGAACTAGAAGCAGTTTTTTCCAATTCTGTAAGAAATCATTATATTTGAGTGTATGTGTATTGAATCTATAAATTACCTTTGGGCAGTATGCATACTTACGATATTGATTCTTCCATCCATGAGAGACAGATGTTCTTCCATCGTTTAGTTCCTTTATTTCACTGAGCAGTGGTTTGTAGTTCTCCTTGAAGAGGTCTCTACATCCCTAGTAAGCTGGATTCCTAGGCATTTTATTCTCTTTGCCAATTGGGGAATGGAAGTTCATTCAAGGATTTGGCTCTATTTGTTTGCCATATCATGTATAAGAATGCCTGTGATTTTGCAGTCATTAATTTTAGAATGTTGGAGATTTCAAAGGGTTGCTTATCAGCTTAAGGAGATTTTGGGCTGAGATAATGGGGTTTTCTAAATATTAAGTTAATCTGTGTGGCTATCTGCAAACAGAAAATAATTTGACTTTTCTTTTCCTAACTGAATACTCCTTGATTTCTTTCTTGCCTGATTGCCCTAGCCAGAACTTCCAACACTATGTGGTTAAAGTGGTGACAGAGGCATCCTGTCTGTGCCAGTTTTCATGAATTTTTCCGTTTTGCCATTCAGTATGATATTGGCTTGGGCCTGGTTATAAATAGCCTCTTATGATTTTGAGTGCAGGTTCATCACCATTAATTTATTGAGCGCTTTTAGCATGAAGGGCTGTTGAATTTTGTCAAAAGCCTTTTCGCATCTATTGAGATAATGATGTGGTTCTTGTCTTTGGTTCTGTTTATATGCTGATTATGTTTATTGATTTGCGAATGTTGAACTGTGCCTGTACCCAGGGATGCGGCTTCACTTGATCATGGTGGATAAGCTTTTGATGTGTTGCTGAACTGTCTATAGCATTATTGAGGATTTGCACCAATGCTCATCAGGAGTATTGGTCTCAAAATTCTCTTTTTGTTATGTCTCTCTGCCAGGCTTGTATCAGGATGATGTTGGCCTCATAAAGAGTTAGAGATTCTCTTTTCATTGTTTGGAATAGTTTGTATGGAATGGTACCAGCTCCTCCCTTGTACCTCTGGTAGAATCTGCTGGGAATCCATCTGGTCCTGATCTCTTTTGGTTGGTAGGCTATTAATTATTGCCTCACCTCTCAGAGCCTGTTGGTCTATCTAGGGATCAATTTCTCTTCCTGCTAAGTCTTGAAGAGGGAGTATGTCCAGGAAATTCATCTATTTCCTTCTAGATTCTCCAGTTTATTTGCATAGAGGTGTTTGTAGTATTCTGATGGTAGTTTGTATTTGTGGGGTTTGGTGGGTGATATCCTTTATCATTTTTTACGATCAATTTGATTCTTCTCTGTTTTCTTCTTTATTAGTCTTGCTAGCGCCTGTCAATTTTGTTGATCGCTTCAAAAACCAAGTCCTTGGATTCATTGATTTTTTGGAGGGTTTTTTGTGTCTCTATCTCCTTCAGTTCTGCTCTGATCTTTTAGTTATTTCTGCCTTTCTATGAATCTGCTAGCTTTCGAATGTGTTTGCTCTTGCTTCTCTAGTTCTTTTAACTGCAATGTTAGAGTGTCAATTTTAGATCTTTCCTGCTTTCTCTTGTGGGCATTTAGTGCTATAAATTTCCCTCTACACACTGCTTTAAATGTGTCCCAGAGATTCTGGTATGTTGTATCTTTGTTCTCATTGGTTTCAAAGAACATCTTTATTTCTGCCTTCATTTCGTTATGTACCCAGTAGTCATTCAGGAGCAGGTTGTTCAGTTTCCATGTAGTTGAGCGGTTTTGATTGAGTTTCTTAGTCCTGAGTTCTAGTTTGATTGCACTGTGGTCTGAGAGACAGTTTGTTATCATTTCTGTTCTTGTACATTTGCTGAGGAGTGCTTTACTTCCAATTATGTGGTCAATTTTGGAGTAAGTGCGATGTGGTCCTGAGAAGAATGTATATTCTGTTGATTTGGGGTGGAGAGTTCTACAGATGTCTATTAGGTCTGCTTGCTGCAGAGATGAGTTCAATTCCTGGGTATCCTTGTTAACTTTCTCTCTCGTTGATCTGTCTAATGTTGACAGTGGAGTGTTGAAGTCTCCCATTATTATTGTATGGGAGTCTAAGTCTCTTTGTAAGTCTCTAAGGACTTGCTTTATGAATCTGGGTGCTCCTGTATTGGGTGCATATATATTTAGGATAGTTAGCTCTTCCTGTTGAATTGATCCCTTTACCATTATGTAATGGCCTTCTTTGTCTCTTTTGATCTTTGATGGTTTAAAGTCTGTTTTATCAGAGACTAGTATTGCAACCCCCGCTTTTTTGTGTTCTCCATTTGCTTGGTAAATCTTCCTCCATCCCTTTATTTTGAGCCTATGTATGTCTCTGCATGTGAGATGGGTCTCCTGAATACAGCAGACTGATGGGTCTTGACTCTTTATCCAGTTTGCCAGTCTGTGTCTTTTAATTGGAACATTTAGTCCATTTACATTTAAGGTTAATATTGTTATGTGTGAACTTGATCCTGTCATTATGATATTAACTGGTTATTTTGCTCGTTAGTTGATGCAGTTTCTTCCTAGCCTTGATGGTCTTTACATTTTGGCATGTTTTTGCCATGGCTGGTACCAGTTGTTCCTTTCCATGTTTAGTG